CCTGCGGCCAAGCCAGCTGAGAAGAAATCTGCAGCAACACCTACAGCAAAGCCAGGTTCTGCCAAAGCTGCTGCTCTTAAGGCCAAATCAAGTGCAAAGCCCTCAGTTAAGAAGGCCGCATCTGCTGCTAAGCCTGCAAAGCCTAAACCAGCCGCTGCTAAATTGAAAATTGCACCCAAACCTAAGAAGACCGGCATTAAGGGACAGAAGAAAGTTGTAAAACCGGTGGTCAAGGCTCTTAAAGCTCAAAGAAAGGTATAATTTTTACTCTTGTTTCTTAAAGACTATTTAATTTAAGTTTATAAACCATTTGTTTCATGTATCAATGCTAATTGTACTTAGGGTACTTGTTATTTGATATTATTATTTTTATTTATTAAAAATCCAAAATTTCAGGTAGTTAAGGGAGAACATGGCAAGCGCATACGTAAAATCCGCACATCCGTGCACTTCCGTAGGCCTAAGACCTTTGAACCCCCGAGACATCCTAAATATCCTAGGAGGTCATTGCCAAGAAGAAACCGGTAAGTGTAAACTTGTATAATATGTTATTTTTACCTTACAAAAAATTTACCATTTAAATTTTGCTGACAGGATTAGAAAATATAATTACAAAAAGTTTAAACACACACATCCAGTATATGAATAAATCTTAAATTCTTGTCTATAATTAGATCTTTAAGTACAAATAAGTAACAACTAAGAAAATTAGAAACTTCACACCATAGTCTAAGTGGGAATATGTCCTACAAATGTTGAAAATAATATGCAAATTAGTTACAAATACAATAAAACTTTCATGTTATGTTATTTTAAGTATTTAGCATTTCTAAATTGAAGTATGCACGTTAAATAACTTACTAATATACTTTGTTCATTTTGTAATGTAGTTTTATCAAATTTAATGAACTTTCCAGCATGGATGCTTACAACATCATAAAGTTCCCGTTGACATCTGAAGCGGCAATGAAGAAGATTGAGGACAACAACACATTGGTGTTTATTGTTCACACCAGCTCAAACAAGCACCACATCAAGGCTGCAGTGAAGAAACTGTATGATATTAATGTGGCTAAAGTGAACACCTTGATCAGGTTGGTTAAACTTTTTCACTAACTTTTAGCTAGTTATGCACTTTATATATTATTTTGTTTCCATAATAATTTTTTTAGTATAAGGAATGGACAAAGCTCATGTATGTTATTGTTATTCTTATAATATAGAAAATTTTCATGATGAAACATTTGTGGGAATCTCATTGATTTAGAATGAAATGAAGTTAACACACTACTGATTACTTTATGTTAATATTAAGATTTATTTTTATTATTATCATAAACTATAGCGTAAACTGTTAATTTCAGACCTGATGGCAAAAAGAAGGCGTACGTGCGACTCGCGAGAGACTACGACGCATTAGATGTTGCCAACAAGATTGGAATCATATAAGCATATGTACCATATTTTCTAAGAATACAAAACATACAAAAACACATTCTGTTTTATTTCCATTTATGTATAAATGACTAGCTGTTCCCGTGTGGGTTCATCCACATTTCACATATGATAATTTTTTTCCAAATTATTCACCCCTAAATTAAATAGATTGAAAATATAAAGTGTGTCGTAAGTATAAGGCTTTTTATTTAAAAAAGTTAAAACAAAAACATACCGTGACTTCTGTGTGTATATACACTTTAATGTAATATAGACTGGCGATAGAAATGATGAAAAAGATATACATGTACATGATTCTTTTGGCACCTGGTAATCGTTCAAAAATAAAAGTGACAATTGAATGTTAGGGTATTAGTGAAATAGCTTGTCAGTTCACTTAACATCATTAGTTTCAGCATTTTGTGTTTTTTTTTAAATATAATTCCATAAAAAGAAGTGATGAAAGTGTTTTAAACTAGTATCAAAAAGGTATTTTTCACAGTGGGAGACATTTTTATCGTGGACAGGTAGGGGGTCCAGTAATTACATTTGAAAATATGAATCATCTTGTGTCTGTTGTAACGAAAATATGATACCATTAGTTAACTCAAGAAATTCCCTATTCCCAAGGGAACGCATAACTATTTTTGTAATTTCAAAAAATTGTTAAAAAATAATTAACTTGCAAATATTTTTCTGATAATTGTTTTATTACCTATTCATTTCAAATTGCAGTGACCGAACCCTTAATTGTAATATGTTTTGTGCAACTGGAAGTATTTCATTAATGACAAAATAAACAAGGATTTTTGTTTTTACCTTACTTATTTACTTACATAATATGGAAATTATTGTGTATCATACAGAAAAATAACAAGAAACTGGCTGTCTGATGATTTTATACCGACCGTTTAGTTCGAACCACGGGGCGTACCACATAGTTTGTCAACAATCATTAAGATTTCTATTATTCTCTAGATAAACACTGATTTTCTAGTTACATTGTAAGGCACAAGTATTTCCTTTAAAATTTGCGTTTTCGTTTTCTAAACGGAAGAATTATCCTTAAATGTGGAAACATTGCCTTGTTGGTAGCCCTAAATGCTCAAAGGCGCCCTCCTGTCAATGTCAAAAGGTGCCACAAGATCCTTGCAGGACTATACTAGAAACCAAGACAATCTTATGTCCACAATCCATAGAGGTAATAAGAACTACGTACAACGGAGTGTGTATTATCTTGCAGTTAAAATAAAGAAAATAAAACCTTATGCTAAGAGCGTAAGAGTCTTGTTGCACGCAAAATAAAATTGTATTTGTTAATAAATACTTTTGTACATAGAAATTAATACATGTTGGAGGAAAATTTAGTGTTCCTAGGTATATTGCTGATTAGAAAAATTTAAAATGCCAAGTATTTACGTTTTTTGTTAGCTGATAACTAATACATACACTATATGGATTACAGAACCTTAATATAGCAAACTTAATTTTGTTAAATAATATTTTTGTTATTTTATAGTTACACAGTTAAGATCGCAGTTACATTAGAAATTACTGTTTTGTGAATAAACCGTTCGCCAATTATAAAATTTAACAGAGACAAAAATCTTTTAAATCAAAATGTCTGAGAAAATAACTTGAGAGTGATTGTACAGGCGCTTGCAAAAATATGATTAAAATGGTTTTGACGTTTCAGTTTTGGCTT